AGACACAGACAGCCCAGCTCCAAGAACACCAGAGAGACAGACAGCCCAGCTCCGGGAAGAACGGAGGGAGGAGAGCTGGGAGCACGCCAGGAGCACCCGGAGGAAGCCCCACTGCCAGCACGGGTGCTTCCGTGCGGGGAGGCCTGGGAAGGTGGCTCCGTGGTACAGTGCCTGCCTAAGACGCACGAGGCCCTGGGTTCGAGTCCTCAGCACCACATACACAGATAAGGCCGAAGTGGCGCTGTGGCTAAGTGGTAGAGCGCTCGCCTTGAGCTGGAGAGCTGAGGGACAGCGCCTGGCCCAGAGTTCAAGCTCCATCCATGGCTGGCAAAAAAAAAAAAAGGAAAAGCACTGGGAGGGCAGCGCTGCTGCCAGTGGCCAGGGCAAGTCCTGAGCTCCTCGGGCCACGCCCCGCTCCCCACAGCCCTGCCCATGCCACGCCCCCTCCTCGGGCCACGCCCTCACAGACACGCCCCTCCCTCGGGCCACGCCCTCCAAGCCTCCAACACCCCACGGACACGCCCCCTCCTCGGGCCACGCCCTCCTCCGCGGGGCCACGCCCTCCACAGCCTCCAACACCCCCACAGACACGCCCCCTCCGCGGGCCACGCCCCCTCCGCGGGCCACGCCCCGCGCCGCCCCCAGCCCCTTCCGCTGCTCACCTTCTCCTCGTAGTTGGGGAGTTTCTCTCTACAGATGGTGATGATGTCCATCCAGGAGTAGTTCCTCTCCCGGCGGATCTTCTCCAGCTCGGGGTCATTCTCGTATTTGTCAGCGTCCAGCTGGGCGAGATTGAACCGGAAGCAGCCGGCGTCAGCCCCGAGCACCCATCCCCCCTTCCCCCCTTCCTCGCGTGGGCTCGCCGCGTCCCGGGACGCCGCACCCTCCTCACCTCTGATGTTCCGGCCAGGTGAAACTCTAGGCCCCTCCCCCATCCCCAGCCAGGTGAAGCTCTAGGCCCTTCCCCCATCCCCGGCCAGGAGAAGCTCTGGGCCCCTCCACCAGCCCCAGCCAGGTGAAGCTCTAGGCCCTTCCCCCATCCCCAGCCAGGTGAAGCTCTAGGCCCTTCCCCCATCCCGGGCCAGGTGAAGATCTAGGCCCCTCCCCCATCCCCGGCCAGGAGAAGCTCTGGGCCCCTCCACCAGCCCCAGCCAGGTGAAGATCTAAGCCCCTCCCCCATCCCCGGCCAGGAGAAGCTCTGGGCCCCTCCACCAGCCCCAGCCAGGTGAAGATCTAGACCCCTCCTCCGGCTGGTGGAAACGCCAGCTAGATCCCGCCCTGCCAGCCAGGCCCAGCTAGGGTCTCCACCCCACGTGCCAACCAGGCTTGGCCCAACCAGGACAGCAGCCTCCTCCCCTCCATTACCCATTTCCTGCTTCCCTGCCAACCCGTTTCTAAGTCAGTATTCTAAGCCACAGCACTGTTGGCTGTGCTCCTCTTAACCACACCATGCCAAGGGAGGTGACAGCTGTAACCCAAGCCACTGGGAGGCCGAGGAAGGAGGCTCCCGGGTGCGAGGCCAGCCCGGGCCACACTTCTCAACTATAATTAGTAGTAACAGTAAAAACCCTTCACACGTGCACATCCTAGGTCTGGCCAGTCCTTCCAAACGTCTTCTCAGCGTTTTATCACAATTCTTCCTACTCTTTAAGGTCCAGCCCAATGTCACCTCGTGTGAGAGCCTGAAAACACAAGCTGTGAGACTGAAAGTTGGGAGTTAGAATGCCTCCTCTGGAAACACTGAGAACACAGAGAGTTCCAGTCCTGGCTTAACGGAACCCAGACTTCAATCCTGGGTGTGGGCTAACTCCACCCTAAGCTGCGTGGGAGCCTATGAGAATTGTGAGCTGTTCAGTTTAGCTCTCCTTCCCAGAGAAAGAACATCTTCCAGGCCTGGCGCGGGTGGCTCTCGCCTGTCATCCCAGCTACTCAGGAGGCGGAGATCTGAGGATCGTGGTTCAAAGCCAGCCCGGACATGACACACCACCAGAAAGCCGGAAGTGGCGCTGTGGCTCCAGTGGTAGAGCGCCGGCCTTGAGCGGAAGGTGAGGGGCAGCGCCCGGGCCCGGAGTTCAGGCCCCACGACCGACCAAAAAGAAGTTAACCTGTTCTGTCCTCTTTGCCCTTAGCTGCCAACGGTGGTGAGAATCCCGGGTGCGGCGCTTCCATACCTCGGCTCCGACTGCATTAACACTCAACACTTTCCTGCCGGCCGGGCCCGCCAGGGGGCGCCTGCGCGGTGAACCCGACAGGGGGCAAATACGAGGGCGGGGGG